ATGCAAAAGGCTGGATAGTGGAGTCGTGGGGGGGGGATGGTGGGGGTTAGCTTAATCAAAGATTATCTGCCGGCATGCAGATATGTGTCAGCAGGCCGAAGGAAGAGGAGGAGAAGGGCATGTATGTCCATGAGTTTCAGTTTAGAAACCATTAGTCTGCCAATCACCTATCTACCAGCTTAACAGTGCATGGGGGAAGGGAGTAAGGGAGGGACACCGGCATATCATCTGTATACACACACACACACACACACACACACACACACACACACACACACACACACACACACACACACACACACACACACACACTGAAGGAGGAAAAGGAGGATTGCAAATGGCCACCGGAGAAAAAAGCCGGCAGGAAATGACTGACAGTATTCTGGTCGGCTGTTGTCAAGTCGGGGCGGTTGGCTTTGGTCGTCTGAGCGTCGTTCACAGATGTGGGGCAAGCTGCCGACTCCACACTCCACCGGTGAAGCGAGAAGATGAGTGTGTGTGTGTGTGTGTGTGTGTGTGTGTGTGTGTGTGTGTGTGTGTGTGTGTGTGTGTGTGTGTGTGTGTGTGTGTGTGTGTGTGTGTGTGAAGGGGGTGGAGGAGGAGGGTTAGCCCAAGGTTGTTTTAAGACGTCTGCACTAGATCTGCCAACCTCTTTTTGTTAAATATCCACCTGAGGTCAAGCTGACACAAATTCCCCGCAGCATCCATGAAAAGTGACATAAACATCCCTAAGGGGGGGGGATTGAAGAGCTAATTGGTCTTCTTCCTGTGAGGCGGCAGCACCAACTACATGTTAATAAATCAAATTTGGAAGGTATTAGGTAGATTTTTTAACCTTTGGATTATCAATGCAGTTTCCCATGCTTCCAATATTTATGCTAAGCTAATTCTCCAAAATCCAATTTACTTATAAGATTGCATTGACTGGGAAATGTCCAAACCAATATAACTGCAGAATGACGGAACATTTGCTGCCTGCTTTTTGCATTTACAAAGTGGACGTTTTGTTAATTAGTGAAATAAAAAAATGTGGTAGGTGTTTTTTTTTTTTTTACCTTGGCACCATGCTAGGCGTCTCCACCTGTTTCCATTCTTTACGCTAAGCTAACCTACTGAATGCAGCTTCATATTCAACCAACACCCAATGGCATCGATAGTTTCTTCCACTTCTTGGATGTCAAACTTTGATTTAAGGGAGATCAGGCCAAATCATTTACACAATGTTGCCACAGTATGCATGTGGATTACACTACAAACTATGAAACTGCTTGGAATACCATTTTTTTTTACATTTCTATAAAACGTTGGTAAATCGGGAATAAATCCACTTGCTCCTAAAAACCCTAAAACTTGTGGCATTTGAAGGGAACACCAAAGTAATAGCTGATGATAAACTGGTCAGTGTGCACAATCATTATTGGCTCAGATTATGCAGCGTTCCTCACGTTCCTGGAGGAATTGTTCTCGCTCCAAATAAAACACCCATAAAAAAACATCATATTATTTAGTGGGGGCTTCACCTTGACATCACACTGCATGAATTGTACCCGGTGCAATGAAAGGAATCAACCAGATTATATTAGATTATAACGCCAGACTGATTTCATCCCGTGCACGCTGCTGCATTATTAATCTGACAGTAATGTAGCTCGCCGTGTGCAATGAATCTCAGACAAAGAGACAGAGAGGGGAAGAAAGCCTCCATGTCTTTTTTTTATGTTTACTCTGGTTGGTTTTTTCCCCCTCTGTGTATCAGAATGTCCATCCACATCCCTTCATGCATTATTCATAAAGTCCCCCCGGCACTAATCCTCGCCTTTGTGTGGCTGTAGTGCCAGTGTGCCTCCAGGGATCTGCTTTACTGCATCGGCTGGACGCTGTCACTGTCACACATCTCTGTAAATTCTCCTCCGACTGTGGCTTTAAATGTGACTGCAATAATCCATAGTGTTCATTTAGTGACCGGATTTTGCTGAAAAAAGCTTCAGTAGTGTGTTACCGGTGTTTCCTGTGGTGTGTGGAGTTAAATTGTCATTTTTAACCCGCCATGTTGTGTAATTTTCCTGCATTGAGCTCATAGTAAACTCATTCTGTACTCATGTCTGCAGATATCTCTTTGGGGTCTCACAATAATTGAATTATTTCCATTATGTTTTGCAGTGCGTCTAGGGTCCAATGGGTTTAAATTGACCTCATTGTTACCCCCTCTTGTGTCTCTATAATATCCATAAGGGCTTAGATGTGTCTTTACTGTGACCTAATTTCAGTTTGTGTCTCCTGTGACAAATATTCCTGCAGGGACTGAGTATTTTATAGTGATTTCGCTCTGAAATGTGTCCACTATATCAATGCAAGATTATTTTTTTAATCTTGTGATATAACTACAGTATCATATTAAGGCAATATTTGCTCTACTGTCCATCCAAAATGTGGATTATTCAAATGTTCTGAGGACAGATTCTCCAAAATCCAATTGAATACTCAGTTTGCATTGAGTGGGAGATTTAAAAACCAATATAAAGTGCAGAATAATGTCACATAATATTACTATCCAATATCTATCAAAACCAGTTGAGTGTGCAGCGCCTGCTAACCCACAATCCGAGGCTCACTGACCTCCTTTCTGGCTGCCCTGTGGGAGTGTGTGTAGGTACCTTGGCTCCTCAGATGCTGCTGCAGCAATTTTGAAGCACATTTTTCGAAAAGTGGAAGGTTTTTTGTTTGCATGATTTCAGTGCACGGTGAAGGGCAGTTTTCTTACCGTGGACAGACAGCGGCATCAAGTGCAGAGCCAGGACGCAGAACAGCAGCGTTATTCTCCAGCATCCCGTGCAGAAGCTCCTCTCCTTCCCCTGCATCCTCACCGTGCAATTATATAATAGAGATGAGAGAAAAAATAAAACCGGGAAATCCCTGCTTTTATAGCGGTACTAGAGTTCAAAAATGTTGCAAAAAAGTAATCCGGGTGTGTTTTAATTTGTCTAGACTCCAGCCTCCCTGCGCTTCTCCTCCATAGCCGCTTGTTCTCAGCTGTCTCTGTCTCCGTCGCTATTTCTCACGCTCGGCTCAGTTAAGAGGTTGGTTACGGCTCCATTGCCACAGAAAGGCGGTCGGGGAGGAGGAGGAGGAGGAGGCGGTGGTGGTGGTGGTGGTTGGAGGCGGGGGATGCGTAAAGGGGGACGCACGCCGTGGTCCGGTTTGGCTTGTTTTGGCTCGGAACGGATCGGTGCTTTGGGCACTTTGTGGCTGGAACAAAACGCACGGCGGAGTGCAGCGCGCTCTGCAGCCTTTTCACCATCTGGGGAGGGGGAAAGATGGTTGTTGATGCCCCCACTTCCTCCTCCCCCCTTTCCTAAGACGCTTCCTTCCTTCTCCTTCTCCATCCTTCCTACTTCCTAAAACTTTTCCTGTTTCTTCGATCCTCTAAGAGTTAACATATACCCTCTTCCTAGTCATTTTTGTATTTGTTTCTCTTTTGTTTCGGATATGTATCGTCTTAATCCTCACTTATATTATGTTTTCCATTAGTTGTTGTCCTCTCTGAACTTCCTTGTCGTCTTTCCAATTTGTTTTCTTCCTCTTCTCCTCTCAAATCCACATCTTACTTCAATCTTATTCATTTTTCCCAAATGTCTTTCTCTTTTCTTACTTTTTCATATTCACAAAGCATCAATGTTTCTCCCCCCCAGACTTTCTCCAATAACTCATTGTTTTTAAATATATATTTAATCGACACAGAATGTTGTGCTCTTTCCAAAACCTTAACAAAGACATTGTCCTTCCTTACACTTCCCTCCTTCCTTCCTTCCTTCCTTCCTTCTTTCTTCACTTCCACCTTTACCATTCCCTGATACTGTTGCTCCTCTTCCTTCCTGGAAACACGTCTCCTCCTCTTCCTCTTCCTTCCCTCCTCCACCTGCTTCCAACTTCAACTTTTGCGACATTTTTCCGATCTATCTACTTCCTCTTTCACTGTCCCAAAACTTTTCCACCTCCTCCCTGTATCTGCTATTCATCACAGTGTTGGACCTCAATAGCAGTAGCACTCTTCCCTTGACACTATTTTTT